ATAGTTCTGATCACGTCAATTGCTTCTTAGCCCACCTATAGCTTGCCTCGAAAATGGAAATTCACCTAACCTAAAGAAAAACTTCCATCTTCTTGCTATTTTACATACAGAATTGCACCCCTCGCTTAAAATCGGAACAAACGATTTTAACATTGAGTTTACGCGAGCGACGTGTTCCGCGGTTGTCGACCCCAGGTGTAATCGGGGGGTAAACATTTCCGGCCAGACAAAGAGACCTCTAGATCAATGGCAATGTTAACCGTTTAAATAAACCAGTTACTACTGTCCTAGCTGTCAACTTTTCCTCCTATCGATTTGACGTTTCAATAAATATAATCAATAATTAAACACTTGTCAATTATGAAAGGATAATTAAAAAATGTTAAACTTTCGATTTCTTCTTAGACAATTAACAATGTATGTATACGAAATCATTGCTGGTCGTTTAAAACTAAGAATGTCCAGTGTCAGCAATCATCAAAATGATAAAACTTTAAATCGATCTTTATGTCATTTCTACATACATCAATTATATATTAAATTTACACATATTATTCAATTAAAGATTTACATTTTTTTTAATTTTGCAGAAATTTTAATAATTCAATTACAAATGAAAAATTGGTTAAAGTAAGATTCAGAATAACGAATAAATATACATCCAAAGACTGTTACCTGCTGTTCTGCTACGGTCTTAGCAGGATGTTATTAATTTCTGCTGCTTGATCGTTCTGTGTGTTAACATGTGTCCAACAAGTGTATTGGCTTCTCTTTGATATCACAATACTTACATTCAACATTAATTTTTCTTACATGTATCAGGAGCAGTTTAACATCACCTATTTTGAGTAGCATTTGAGCGAAAGGCTCGTTAGATATAATGAAAAAAATATCGCCATTTAAAGAATTTTTATCAGATTTGATTAGTTCTTTTACCTGTGCTAAAATATTTTTATCGTACCTGACCTCCCGAAGATGAGGTTAACCATATCTAGTAGGCATTGATCTCCCAATGCAGTATAACTTCAAGACAAATCAACTTCATTTTATGTTTTTACCATAGCCAAAGTTACATTGTAAAAGTCTATATACATTGATATATACATCATCATCATCAAGTCATAGCATATATAAACGTTATACTAAAATACTACAGTATCAATTATTGTCTAGCACCAACATATTCTTCTGCAATATAAGATATTTAAACGTACGATTAGTAGTTTTGGAGTCATTTTTGGCACGCACGTTGACCACCTACTTAAAAATGTTGCCCAGGCTGATACGACATTGCAAAAATTTTGTCATTTACTTCGTCGTTTAGTAGACTTTTGGACATGCAGAATTACAACGGACTATTAGACAATTTGGGAACCATATGTTTAATAAAGATTAGACCTAGCGACGAATTCTAGCTTCATCAAATTCTCAAAAAAATATTTGTTCTTTTGGTCTTTTGGTCGAGGTGAGCTCTACTTAATTTCAAACATTCTCATCAAGAAAGCCAGAACAGTGGACAAAGTAAGATTATGTTGAAAACGACTTACTAGAATTTGTCATAAGAGATTTTTCATCAATTCTACAAGCTGGTAGTCTGCTCTGAAAGGAGGGAAGACACGATTGTACATACCCTATTAAATTGTAAAATTTGTATAACTTTTAAGTTTAAATGTATACAGTGAGGTGCATTTTTCGACACATTATAGGAAAAACAAAGTTCCACTTGCTTAAATGAATTATGGCGCATATGACTTAATTTTCTAATTAAAATGAATTTCTTGTAAGCATTGGGAAACACTTATTTTAAAATATGTACTACGCTTAGGAGAAAGCTGCATGGGTAAACATATGTTTGGTCGTTACCAAAGATTTTGGTCTGTCTATCCACGCTGGGTTAGTCTGCAGACGCGTTTGGGCGTTTCGCTATTTTAAATGTGTTTGTGTGATTGAAGTGATAGGCAGAACATAATAATCAGTAAAGCCAAATTATAGGTTCATCAACCCGAAGAAAGGTCTAAGTTTTCGCGGCGTGGAAGACAAATTTAAGCAACACCCTGCCGGCGAGCTTCTCGCCATAGTTCCATTATGCGAGCGATTAACAACTTAGAATCTAGTACAATTAATTAACGTTTTTAATTGAGATAAAAAGTCAATGGCATGAGCGGGATTCGAACCCACGATCTTCGGCTAGATACGCCGCTGCTCTACCACTTGAGCTATCGTGACCTGGATCCACTCGGACACTAACTTCCCATCTCAACCCCACTTTTTGAATTTTCCCTTCTTTTTGCCATTTTTCAAAAGGTGGGGTTGAGATGGGAAGTTAGTGTCCGAGTGGATCGAGGTTACGATAGCTCAAGTGGTAGAGCAGCGGCGTATCTAGCCGAAGATCGTGGTTCGAATCCCGCTCGTGCCACTGACTTTTTTATCTCAACTAAAAACCTTAATTAATTGTATTTAATTAATTGGTCAAGCGGACCACGAAATTATGAATTTAGAATCTAGTGTGAATGTGAAATTAGATAATAGAGAAAGTTTCATGTAAATTATTATTTGGAGATCGTGAGATGCGGTCTGGTGTGACGTAGGTTTTAGAAAAACATTTTGTTTATCGTGCCAACGTTTCGATCTTTATTGAGATCATCTTCAGGAAAGTGTTTGTTTTCTATGTAGATGTGTCATTCTTGTATGTTGTGTTGAAAGTGACAGTGAGATATTGATGTTTTATGTCTATATATGGAATCTGTAGTGTCCAGTTAGCAATCCAACTATTATTTTAATCCTAACACGTCCTAGATTTAGTAGTCCTTTGATAATTGTTTTTGCATGCCTCTTTCCTGGGCTATTATTCCCATTGAGCGGAGGACTTATTGTCTAATAGATCCGCGTTTTTGGCAGTTTGGTAAGCCACAAAAGGGTTGAGGGCCAATAAATGTCCTCATTGAACTTTCCTTGGTCAGTTTATTGGCCTCTTCGTTGCCCCTCTGCCCTGTGTGCCCTGGCACCCAGACAAGTGTAATTGTGTTATTTTCTCCAATGTCTGACAGGGTTCTACTGCAGTGCAAAACGGCTCTGGTCTTTACCGTCGATGCGTCAATTGCCTTCAGTGCCATCAGGCTGTCCGAGTAGATGGCTATTCTTCTATTGATAATCCCCAACCTTTTGATCTCCCTGGCACAGTCTTCAATAGCCACGGTTTCCGCTTGAAAAACGGTGTATATTTTAAAAAGGAAGTTTTCCCGCATCACAGACCGTTTGGCCTCAACGTACTCGACTCCTTTTTTGAGTAAGGCATGCACCTTTCTCCTTGAGTTTCTAGACTGTCGGGCGTAAGACACCTCTTCTGCCGAGAGGTTGGCTATTTCTTCCAGAGAGCTAGCTTTTGTAGATCTAGTTGGTGGGACACTCCTGCCTTTACCAGGGGCACAATTACCGGCACTAGAAATTTGTTGTGCTTTTATTTTTTCTGTTGGTATAGTCATTTGGTTCCGAGGAAAAGCTGGGGATCTAAAAGTCCGCCCGCACAGAGCCGCGCATATACGGGTAAGGTGACTAATATTCAAGGAGGTGGCAACAGTTGCCTAGGGGGACGGTAATGACCACAACTTATCCCCTGCGGCCATTCAGCTCTAAGCATGTTGCCTTACACCATAACTTGGGGGTGTTTTCAGTTGGGGGTTGTCTCCCTTAGCTCAGAGTTCCCCGTTATTGCGCCGGGAGTCGTATTCGTCCCCCACCGTTAGTCAGAAAGATTTTGCCCGGGCTGTACGTGGCCAAGGCCTTCATAGTTCATGGACATGGTGGAAGGACTTGAGGTCCTAGGAGTTCATTTCCAACTGAGCATTTCTCGGTATTTGTAATTCCCACCAACCTAGGCTATTGTTTGAAACACCGAGGCTCATTAACCCCCATTTACATCCCAACTATGAAGCAAACTATACAGCACTGCCCAAGTTCCAGCAAGCTGCCATGTTTATCTTCATTCGAACCAAAATATCCAGTTTTTCTTAGCCTCATATCTGGAATAGACTCATTATCAAAATTATAAGGCACTTCCTGTATAAGTTGAAATGTGATATTTGGTATAAATATAGATCTTATATTGTAAAACCGGTAAGAATCTGAAAATTATACTTTTCCCAAAATTGCCAAATGGCCATGATATACCAGTTGCTGTTCGTGCATCAAAACATCCACTACCGCTTCAGCTGGTTTTCTTTCGAACTGCATACATATTACATTACAATTTCAAAGTTTTACTATTTTAATTTATTCTTTTAAAAGTAGTCCTTTTGTAGACGGCTTGTTATTATTCTTATACAATTTAACAAAAATGACAAAATCCATCATATCCACTGTGGGCTAATCATGATAGGTTTCTAGTGATACAGTCAACAGTGATTACTAGAGCCCAGATTTATATGCAATAAAAATCCTCAAATATACCTTATAATATGCACTAAAAAAAATTCAAAACATTAAATTGTGCAGCATGAATGAGAGAGACCTGACTAATAATTAACTTTTTAACCAAGATTTATTTTTTATTTTTGGCCTAGTGCATATTCATTTTGAAAGGAAATAAGACAGAAAAATCTACCAAACTAAAACCTATATTTTAAAATAAACCAATAATAAAAAAGACACTCGTATTTTATTGGTTTTTCAAACTATATGTATGTATTTTCATTGTTATATTGTTATATTAATTACAACATACTTATTTTAATGTAAACCAAATTAAATGAGGTCAGAAATTCATGAGTTTTATGATGGTTTGAAAGAAAATTCACCAAAACGTCATTATAACATAGATTGAAATTTAACTAACATTATTCTTTCACTAAATGATTTTCTGGGGTTTTGGTGAATTTTTGAATGCAATTATAATAAATCCAGGATCTTGTGATAACAGACGATTAATTTTTGGCTAACTACATTAGTGATTCACTAATTAATTTACATTTTATATTTTATTTATTTATTTTTTTTTTGTAAAGGATGATTGGAGAACAAGAGTTCGAGGTTTGGACAGGCTGGCCTCCTGGGCCCCAGGGAGGTTGAACAGTGAAGAAGGGAGGCATTTGCTCCTTTATCTGGTCGGATGTCTTAGCGAGGACCCAAGGCCTCCCAGGTTAGTCGCTAGTCTCCTGCGGGCAACCAGAGCATCTCTTTCAATTTCTCCACCCTGCCTGGGATCCTTGTTGCCTTGGCTTGTTCCTGCTCTCTGTCGCCACCTGGCCGGAGGAGCCCCTCTTCCGGCAAGGCTTGAGGCCGTCGAAGCTATCAAAACCTTGATGAGGATAGCCACACCAGGTCCCATTGTTGCTATACTCTTCAGCGACAGGTGCCTCTACTCTAGAAGTTCAAAGGTAATTGAATTTTTAATGAAAATGATAAAATGCTCATTACCATCATCCCACCCCTGGTGCAGATGTATTTACTACCTATGACTACCCCCTCTTGTGGTTTATATAAATCATATACCAATAAAAAACACATTTATTTGTTTTTTAGCTCCGTGAAAATTCTTTGCTCTGTCTTCTCTACGCACTTATGACATTCCCCAGCAACGAGTTCGACTGTCCAATCCTTGCTGAGAAGATCATCGCAATGGCAATCACCGAGCCGAAGCGGAGAGTGCGTCAGGCCATTCTTGAGAGCCTGGCCGTTCTAGCGCAATTCGTCCCAAGGAACACCCTCATTCTCCACGCTGAGGACTATGACAACCCAGATGACGCTATGTTCTTCTATGAGGGCCTCCAGGCAAGGCTCGCACGCAGGCAACTTCCAGCCGTCTCTCACGAAGGTCTTGTTCTATATTCTCTCCAGATACCACCAACGACAGGTAATCATTTGCGGTAACTTTGGAAATGCAACGTTTCCTTAAATATTGGCCCTTGCCTTATCTATCAGACAAAGAAAAACCTGTAGTTGTTTTCCATCATAACATTAATTGTACTTTTGATCTGATATAATTTGATCAGATTGTTTATTAGCTGTTTTAAATGTTAATGTTTGCTGATTATTTGGAGATCGTAAGATGCGGTCTGGTGTGACGTAGGTTTAGAGAAACATTTTCTTTATCATGCCAACGTTTTGATCTTTATTGAGATCATCTTCTGTATAATAATAATGACACACCTACATAGAAAACAAACACTTTGAGTCCTGAAGATGATTTCAATAAAGATCAAAACATTGGCATAATAAAGAAAATGTTTTTCTAAACCTACATCACACCACCAGACCGCATCTCACGATCTCGAAATAATCATTAATTAACGATCAGTATACACCACACACATTAACGTTTGGAATAATATCTACTTATTATTTTGAAAATGAAATAAAACTCTACTTTCTTGCGCTAAAAAAATATGTTCACAGATGACAGAACCACAATTAAGCTGCATTCATGCAGGATGATGAAAATCTGAGCGGGGAGTGAAGGTGCCATTAGAAGTTGAATTTATCCACATGGGCAATCACTCCCACTCAAAACAGAATGCTTGCTAAATCTAAAATCATTAATTTGTAATGATACATGTGGAGTCTTTTGTCTGCATTCATTTACAGGTTATGTTAATATTTGCGCTGGATAGGTGCTAATTTTATTAGCTAGTTCAGAGAGCTTTAGTGAAAGTACACTTCATTTTAAACTTATTAAATTCACTAATTTTGTGGTCCGCTTGACCAATTAATATATTACAATTAATTAAAGTTTTTGGTTGAGATAAAAAAGTCAATGGCACGAGCGGGATTCGAACCCACGATATTCGTCTAGATACGCCACTGCTCTACCACTTGAGCTATCGTGACCTCGATCCACTCGGACACTAACTTCCCATCTCAACCCCACCTTTTGAATTTTCCATCCTTTTTGCCATTTGGAATTATACACAGNGCTGCTCTACCACTTGAGCTATCGTGACCTCGATCCACTCGGACACTAACTTCCCATCTCAACCCCACCTTTTGAATTTTCCCTCCTTTTTACCATTTTTTATTTGTCGCCGAGAATCAAATAGATTACACGGCATTTGAAAAATGGCAAAAAGGAAGGAAAATTCAAAAGGTTGGGTTGAGATGGGAAGTTAGTGTCCGAGTGGATCGAGGTCACGATAGCTGTAATGTAATAAATAACATTTTTGTAACATAAAAATCAATTATAAATAACAAAAATTAAATAATCAGATAATAAATAATTATTTTTAAAACTTTAACTATTATGAATGGTGAACAGACTAGGAAATTGAATCAGCCGTCAAAGATGTCTTTTTCTTTCTGGTGGATTTTTATATTTTTTGTACAGACAGGGATTGGAGGTGACTGTTCAATCATTGGTGATAGGGCAAAGGAGATTTTTAGGACTTCATATATGTCCAGTTTGAAGTGTCATGAGATAATGCAACAGTACACTGAGCACAGTTCTTCAAGCTTATCCACTTGAAACATTAGAACCAATAGAGAAATTAGGTTGTGATATTTCCACAAAATAACATTTTTGTAACATAAAAATCAATTATAAATAACCAAACTTAATTAATCAGATAATAAATAATTATTTTTAGAACTTAACTATTATGAATGGTGAAGTAGGAAATTGAATCAGCCGTCGAAGATGTCTTTTTCTTTCTGGTGGATTTTTATATTTTTCTTACAGACAGGGATTGGAGGTGGCTGTTCAATCATTGGCGATAGGGTGTAGGGGATTTTTAGGACTTCAGATAAAATAAGTTTATCTGAACAAAAATTAATTCAATATTTAAATGAAAACTACAACCAGTTTTGAAAATAGAGCAAGTTAATAATTTCATCAATGATTAATTTCCACAGTCCAGATTAATTCCACAAATTTGTTATATAATTTTTGAAGAATGTTTCTTCTTTGTGTCTAATAGTAAGCTATATAAGTTAAAATTTAATGGAAAGTAGTTGTATATTTACTAGTACATTTCAGCACTAGTAATTTAGTTATATTTGTAACAAATAGTTGTTACTTTTATTTTCTCTTGCATTTATTTATTTACTTTATTATTCTTAAATAAACAGAAACCTTGCAGGACGTTGGGGTGTCTTTTATAAATTTAATTAATAGGATGTTAATAAAGAAAAAATTGCGTTTTAAATTGAATCTAATGCTAACCAAACAGATATAAAAATATATTCACCTTCAAATAAATACACCTTCCTCTAACTCTTTCAAACAAAATAAAAAATTGTAGGTAGATCCTAAATAATTAGTAAATATATTTACCAATTTTTTAATGTTAAGTACAAAGTAGAGCGAAAATGTCTAGTTGAAAAAACAAAACAAAACAAATGTTTTTTTCAGGTGTGCTTGAGTTTTATCGGCTTAGGAAAAACAGCCCTTTCAGAGAAAGTTCATGTAAATGGACACACAATTTGGGTCAGTAAAACAACTTATGGAAAAAGTGACTGCAAGTTTATGTTACTCTGTGATTTGTCCCACTGGTAGTGGTATATTTATTTTTACCTATTTATGTTTCTACAATATTTAACGAAAATTAAAACAGTAATGTAACTTATAATTTCAATGTCATGAATATTCACATAATTTGATCAAAATTGCAACACCAAACATAAAACCATTTCACTAGCTGTTACTGTTGTCGAGAACACTATATTTACAGTCATGTGTATTTCATCTTGAATGTTAGTTTATGTTAATAGAATTTATATGTAATTTTGGTGATTACTTATTATTTTAGTCTGCCTACCGAGGCTCATTAAAAATGCACTGAGGTGGAGGCTTAAAGTGCCTTGAAATGCAAATAAGTAAAAAGTATGTACTGCTGGAAAAACTAAAAAACTATTTTTTTAAAAATCATCTAAATCACATGAAACATCAAGTTTATTCACCGACACTAGTACCATACACATTAGTAGAAGCATTAGAATGAAGAATAGCTGAAACAAATTACCAATGTTCCGAGAAAGAAACTTGGGACAAGCAAAAAAGAAAAAAAAATAGATCAAACTCGGGATGTTTAGTGATGATTGATGAATCTCCAAGTTATGGCCAGTAACACCTCTATAGTAAATTTTGCTAGATGTTGCTAGATTTTGCTATAGTGATTTTTACTATATTTAACTAACTTGTATAACTTAAGTGGAACTTAAGTTATCACAACCAATCTTTTCTTTTTTGTGCAAAAAAGATTGTGACTAATTATTTCCATACTGCATCGTATGGAGTGATAATGAAGATTAAATGAGCAATTTCTTGATTGAAATTATCATTAATTTTCTTTGTTAGTGTTCTTTCTTTTGCTTTTCATAGATGAAAAATATTTCAAAAAATGGACAAACTATTGAGTATTTGTGGTGGTGGAGGGAAAGTTTTGAGTTTCCATCAATAAATCTTCTAAAGCAGATAAATTAATCATAATTTATTCATTAGTCATTGAGCTTTTCGCAATAAGCTAATTACATTTGCTGACAAAAAAACAGAAGAAGTGAAAATATGAGGAAGTAAAGTGATAATTTCATAGATGTATAATTTCCTTTTTATTTTTTAGGCATGTTGTTGGTGGTGGTTTTAAATGAAAATATTGTTTTTCCATGCTTTGGCCATTTGCAAGAAATATTTTATTTCCTAAAAGTTACGTAAACAATAATCATGAAGAGCAGTCAAAAATAAAATATTCTAGAAAAACACCTTTTTTATTTTTATTATTATTATTATATTTTTATTTATTTTTTAACCGACATTTTGACCTTTATTCGGGACATTTTCAGAGCAAAAAGTGTGGTGCTAGTCTTGTGGTGTCATATTGGTTTTGTGCGAAATTGTGATGACAACAATGAGCAACAACAATATATAAACATTATATAAAAATTTTAAAAATTAACTATTGTTTCAACAAAGTCCAAAAAGCAGCAAAAATATTTCTTGAAAATGGCACAAGTTTATGTTGAACCTGAAATACTGGGTAATTTATTAGGGTCTGTTTTTACTCAAGGGTTTGTGGAATTACTCAAACATGTTTCGGCATTGCACCATCTTCAGTGAGGAACTCCTGGCACGAGATGCCGCGCATCAAAACAACTATATTTTCATTTAAAACCACCTTCATTAACAGGTGGTGATTTACCTTATTTTCACTTCTTCTACATCTTGTAAAAAAAAAAAAAACTCAAATACTATTGAATAATTATCATCAATAAATTAATATATCTGGTATAGAAGATTTATTGATGAATACTCCAAACTTTCCATATCCACAACCACAAAAAAAACCTCAATTGTTTGGCCATAACTAAATGAATTTTCTCTGAACTAAATTTTACACATACTTTTTTTTAATACAAATGATTTGATTTTTTTTTTTAATGGTTTTTTCAGGAACAGATGTAGAATGGATTTTGAGTGGTTCAGGCTCGTTGTCATCTGGATCTGCCAGGTCTAGATCTCAGCTTGATAATTCGCAAAGAATTGTCAGCCAGTCTTCTGAAAGCATGTTTAAGTACGTACTAAGTTAAAACAAATGGTTTTCATTATATACATATATATATACATTTTTTAAATTTATAATAGACATTGTTTACATTATTTGCATGTATAATATAACTTAAAGTATACGCTGGAAGTGCCTTTAAAACTATAAACCAGCTTTCACTTTTAAATAACAATTATAACCCTATCCACCAATGAAGGTAGATGTGAAATGACAAAATGCTTGACATACCAAAGCAGCAAACTAGGAAAATTGTAAAGAACTAAACTACTTTCATGGATCTATGGATTAGAAAGATCAATGGCTGTAATTGCTATCACTGAGAAAAAGACTTGTTATATTTTTAATATAAATTTGAGCATATTTCACTTAGTGATTAAAGTGTTATTTCTGCAAAAAACATATATCAAATAAAATATTTTGTTCAGTGAAACCACCAATTTTACAGCTTGTAGCTTGATATCAAGCTTGTAAAGCATGAATATACTTATAGAAAAGACGCAACTGGAAAATAACACATTAGTTGATCCCTGTAGATTGGCCAGGGTGATCAACTTGCTATTAATTATTCAACACATCAGGGTATGATGCAGAGCTGTAAAAGTAATGTAAATGTTTTTAATTCAATAAAAATGTTTACTAATGGGATGAAAATAACTTTTGCTTAGAAAAGCTAAGCAAATGAACTAGAAAATAGAATCATATAAATATAAATAATTGTTTGAGGGAACAATTAACTGTATGAAATATCCATTACATTTAGTGGTCTGATTGACCAAATTACTTCTTTCAATTAATTAACCTTTTCATGTAAGGTTTCGGTTGAAATGAAAAAGTTAGTGACACGAGCAGGATTCGAACCCACGACCTTCAGCTTAATACGTCACTGCTCTAACCTCTTGAGCTATCAAGCATTGAAGGTCGTGGGTTCGAATCCGCTCGTGTCACTAACTTTTTAATTTCAACCAAAACCTTACATAAAAAGATGAATTAATTGAAAGATGCATGAAATATGTTCTCACCAAACATAAATAACTACCCTTCTAGAAAAAATGCCCAACTTTCAGTGAATTGTTCAACTAAGGCACACATTGAAATAACACAGCAATATATTTAATTATCATAAATTTGAATGTTATCAATTGCTGCTAATTCAATAAAAATGTAAATCCCATATTTAATATTCTTGTTGATTAGGCTTTATTGTTTGAATTTAAGATAGTTAATTGCATAAATATTCATTTTTTAATAATAATTAATATGCATGTATGCATAAAGAGTGTGCAACAATTTACCTTTGTATATCTTTAAATAAAACATAAAAATTAATTACTATTAATCACAAATTATAAAAGTTACAAGTTTTTGCTTTTTCTCAAACAGTAATGCTGAAACAAACAAAGTAATTGGGAATGTCCCAACACTCATTATTTTATTATTATTATTTAATATATTGCCTTATACTCAGTGTATTTTCAAATTAAATTAAGTATGATATAATTATGACAGACTAAAATTTTCTTTTGTTTAGTAGTTGGAATCGGGAGCCAACAAACACAAATCTGATGGCTGTTGGTACAGCAATACCTCAACGGAATAGCTATGAGTTCCTGTACAATAATAATTTTGTGAGTATAATGCTTTTTAATTAATTATTTAAGAGGATTTCCATTTTGATTTTTTGAATTGTGAGTGAATGTAAAATTGAATTCATTCAATATTTCAAAAATATTAACTGTTCGATCACTTTGTAAAAGATGGAGATCCAGACTAATCGGCCTGTTTCACGTGTCATCTAAATGATTACTGATATTTTCAATTATTTTTTTAATGACATATCTTTCAAATTAGCAGAGAGAAATCAGAGAATGTGAGTAAATAATCTTGGAAGAAGGGTAGAGTGAAAAAAAGGCCTAGGGCAATGGCCTTAGAGTCTACGGGACTAACATTTCATTTTATATCTTGTCATTGTCATAGAAAATACAATTTGTTAACTGCTGAATGCTGTGCTCTGTTTTGAAATTTATTATTTTTATACTTTTGAGGAAAAATCACTCAAAACCATTTTTAATTGATTTCTTTGTATACCTATCGGTAAATAATAAAAAAAATTGAGATTGCTACTGAATAACAATAATATTGAGCATTGACCATCAAAACCTGTTAATATGTATATTTTTGAAAAAAGTAATATTATGCAAAATGTATTAGTTTTTAATTTTCACGATAGACAATATCTGGACTTTTTTTGCATTTTATCTTTTGTGAACTTCCACAAGTTTGCAAAGGGTTGCCAGATAGACCCCAAAATAAAATAAAAGGCTGAACAGTTTGAAATTGTTTAAATAAAACAACCCCATAATTGTAGATATTTGTCTGATAGTTATATAAATGTATATTTTTATTTAATATTATTATTTATTATTTAAAATTTGTCTTAAATTTTAGATATTCTTTTTAAGACAAATGTCACCAAATATATTTAAACTATCAGAATTTTACAATAGAAAATCTAAAAATAAAATTGAACCAATGCTCAACAATACACTGATAGAAATAATGAAACTGAGTATGTAGATTCACTTATTGTAAAGGATGTTCCTAATCATAGATTTGTTGTTTAGAAGTAAAAAAAAAGGTTGTAAACAACAAATCTGTGAGCAAAAAGTAAAAAAAAAAGACAATACACTGACGTGCAGAGATTCATTAAGTTTAGGATTTGTGGTCGATGACTTTGCAATGGTCTGTTTGCATGACAACAACCTATTGATTATGGTTCAATGTAGAAGTCGTCTCTATCAAACATGAGCATCAAATGATCTACCCGGTCAGTACTCTTTTGCCAGAACACTGGAAAGGGGATAAAAAGACTAAAACAATTGATCAGGCTAGAATTGAATGCAATCGCCACTCAGCAGAAGGGGAAATGCTCATGTGTAAAATTCTAGGCTATCGGCCTCTACTGTTTACAACATTTGAGGTGGGTTGAAGTGCATCCAATTGTGATTGTTTCATCAAATAAAATTTCATTACAATGCTTCTGGCAATGTACATATAAGTTTATATCAAACACAGTATTATAATGGTTTATGAATATAAAGTATATTTAGTAGTGCTACAATCCACCATTAAATTTGTTTTAAATTGAAATAAAGATTATTAAAACAAAAAATAAAACAAAAAGGAAAGATCGAATTATAATATTGAATAGAATTATTAAAGCAGAATAATTTTGTTATAGGATGATAGAGCATCTTACGATCAGATCTGGTCAAATGACCCAAGACACAATCATCCTTCTTTGACCCAAGGCAAGTACTGTAGAGCAATAATAAACTTTTTCTAACATGATAATGTTTAAAATGAAACACAAAATGTCACAGCCTAAAATCTAGTTATGTGTTGGCCATCAAAAAGCTATAGTTAGAATACAAAATTAGTTATAAATTAAATAAAAATAATATTGATGATCATATTATTATATTCAGGCAGGTATATAGAAATTTAAACTTTTCCTGTTTGTTATTGTTTGGGAAACTAATCTTTTGTCATGTTTACTTTTAAAGGAACACGGCCAATCTATGTGAATTATCAAAATGGACCAGATTTACAAAGAGGATCAGTACCAGAAAAAGGTAACACGAATAACATTATTAATAGTGTGACCATATTTAAAAAATTGGCTCAACTTGTAACTTTTTCTTATAAAAGGATGAAACCAACCTACCTAGATTTTAGTAAATGTAAAATGTGCACAATATTTTTACATTTTGTAGTGAGAAATTATCAAACAAAAAACTTGACCTCAAATGGACAATCTTATTTTTACTTATGTTTAGAAACCTAGAAATTTCAAAAAGAAAACATGTGTTTTCAATTGTTTTATTTTTCCAAAAATAAATGTGAGCTTTGTGACAACAGGATTTCCACAACTGAATGTAAGTTATGCTGGAGGCTATCCGAGGAGAATGGGAAGAACTGAACTTAGTCAGAGCTGGTCTGGTACAAGGTGGGCACCCCAGCATGATCCTCCTCCGCACGTCAGCATGAAACAAAGTCTACCCCCTATCGGCCCTCAAACAATTGACTGGCGAATCAGAAAAGATAACAATCAACAGGTATTCAAAATTTAATCACTTTCCCTGAAATCATAATAAAAATATAAACTGTGTGTTAATTAACCAGCTTTTTGACAATATTATAACAGTTTGTAAATTTTAAATGGGTATAAAATACATAAAGTAAACTATTTTTTAGGATTCTGGATTCAGAATAATGCAACAGGAAGAGCTAAAAAAAGGAAGGTGGTCAAGACGACAAGACAGTTCAGTCCACAAGTCCAGATTAATGTAAGTACATCATTCGTTTCTTCCACATTTGGCATATTTAAGTGCATGGCACAGTAATTTATAACTATCCAGTGTTTAAACATGTTTTCATTAAATTAAAAAAACTAAGAGTAAAAAGTAGTAACTTTTACGTTTATTAAATGTTAAAATTGTATTTCATTCTGGTATGGATGTGTGGAATGGATAGGACATGTTTTAATAGGGGAAACAATGAAAAAGGCTATGAAATAAAATCAATTAATTTATTAATAATAGATATAAAAAATTCATTGAATGATTGTAACTTTACTATGCTCTATTACTACAAGTCATTTCAACCATAAATAATCAAGTATGTAGAAGAGTGAAGAGATTTAGTCAGTTTTTAAATAATGATTGACTTACAGTTGAAAATAGTTATGTGTATTTTAAACAAATACTTGTGAAATGGTTAGATGAAAATAAAAAAATGATAATATTTTTAATTGTATATTTAATAACAATGATTATTCAGAAATCGTGAGATGCAGTCTGGTGTGATGTAGGTTTTAGAAAAATATTTTCTTTATCGTGCCAACGTTTCAATCTTTATGGAGATCATCTTCAGAGCCTGGGATTTACAAACATTGTTTACATTTAACAAATACATGTGGGATGTGGAAAAAAGTGAATTTATACAGTGGAAAAAAAATTTTTTTTATATTCAATCAAAGTATTTCTACTCACTCAGTGTTTGTTTTCTGCGTATGTGTCCCATTCTTGCGTGTCGTGTTGAGAGTGCCAGTGAGATATTGCTGTTTTATGTTTATATACGTTGGATTTTGAAGGGGTGGGGAAGGAAGTCTGTATAGAAAAGACATTTTTGTATAAGCTTCTTTGAGGTAAAAAGTGTTTTAGTGTTTAATAACAATGACTAAAAGATAAAAATGTTGGAAGGTATAATAAAACCAGTTCCTCAAAACTTGACATGAATAGATGTGTATCATCAACTCTAAACTCAGTACAATACTAACTTTATTAGCAAAATGACTATTAAAGTACATATAAAATTAACTGTAAACCATATGTGCATGTAATGATCCAGTTATGCGATATTTATCATTACAATTATCATCAGGATACATTAAGGAAAATAAAATTCTCTTACTAAGGTTTAGTTTGATTCAAGGTTATTTAGTCAACTTGTAACTATCTCTGATATAGTTAGTAATCAGCCTTTAGCAATAATTATTGTCTACAAAACAATAAGGGAAGATACCATTTAGAAAAAAAAACTGTTTTTCATTAAGCTTTTGAGGAATATATCTCCTTAAAATTAGTAATTTACTAGGTTATAGAGTGTTAACTTTTTAAATGAGTAATTAAAGTAGTTTCACAATCCAGGCAATGTGAATATATTCCTTGCATGCTGTAACAATAAGGGAAGATACCATTTAGAAAAAAAGCTGTTTTTCATTAAGCTTTTGAGGAAAATTAGTAATTACTAGGTTATAGAGGATTAACTTTTTAAATGAGTAATTAAAGTAGTTTCATAATCCAGGCAATGTGAATATATTCCTTGCATGGTGTAACAATAAGGGAAGATACCATTTTAAAAAAAAAGCTGTTTTTCATTTAGCTTATGAGGAATATATCTCCTTAAAATTAGTAATTTACTAGGTTATAGAGGGTTAACTTTTTAAATGAGTAATTAAAGTAGTTTCATAATCCAGGCAATGTGAATATATTCCTTGCATGCTGTAACAATAAGGGAAGATACCATTTTTAAAAAAAAGCTGTTTTTCATTAAGCTTTTGAGAAAAATTAGTAATTTACTAGGTTATAGAGGGTTAACTTTTTAAATGTGTAATTAAAGTAGTTTCACAATCCAGGCAATGTGAATATATTCCTTGCATGGGGTAACAATAAGGGAAGATACCATTTAGAAAAAAAAGCTGTTTTTCCTTAAGCTTTTGAGGAATATATCTCCTTAAAATTAGTAATTTACTAGGTTATAGAGGGTTAACTTTTCAAATGAGTAATTAAAGTAGTTTCATAATCCAGGCAATGTGAATTTATTCTTTGCATGCTGTATAAACTGTACAGAATGCTGTAACTGAGCGTTTTACTTAAATTTTGCAACATCCATCATTTTTAATGTATAATTACTCATTAAATCTTTATTTGAGATGAAAAAAGCCAAAGGTAGTGGATTAAAATCCCTTGCGTGACTTTTGCATTCAACTATAAAACACATCTGTCCATTCTTCAGATTTAAACAGTTTTAATTTGAAAACTTTAAATGTTATAAGAATAAAACATAGGTGTTACATTAAAGCAGAGTGAAGGAGAAGTAATCAAAAACAAAATGAGAAGGAAAATAAAACAAGTTTGTAAATGAATTTTTTAAAAGTCCAATTAATTACTCTTTTCATCTAAGATTTTTGGTTGAGATGAAAAATTAGTGTCACGCATGGGAATCGAATCCAGTACCTTTGGCTTTTTTCATATCAATTAAAAAACCTTAGATGAAAAGAATAATTAATTGAAATAATTAATATGGACAATTATGGCCACTAAACAAATGTGAATTAGTTTTATTTCTATATTCAAATGTAGAATATAGTGATGCATTTATGAATTTTAATTTTCATTGATTTTGTTCAGTTGGGCCAAAACAGTTTCTCATATAAAGGAATGTAGTCAGGGTAATTTTTCACAGGATCTACACTTTTGCATTCATTGATATATCTTGTTCAGAAGAGCATTGAGTCAAAAGTGCACTACCAAAAATCGTATTGTCATCCCGAGTTTTTCGCTTCCTATATTAATAAATCCTATTGTTTATTATTCCAATACTGAAAGTGTATTTATAGATAGGCAGTATACATTCATAGCTTATTAAAAATTAATCTTGTCTTCTGGTCTGAAAATGACTGGTACTGTTTCCTATCCTTTAGAAGTGTTCAGTTTGTATCAGCAGAGGTTGTGTTTTACATTTTTTTTCAGTTTTGCAATTCAGAATTGTTTCTTTGATATTATTAAAATTCTTTGCTTTGAGGGCTACTTGGCTTTCTGCTGTGATAGTATTCATTTTAGTTTGGTCGTTTAGTATCATTTTGGTCTTCCTATCCTTACTGTTTTGCTTTTTCAGCCGTGTTTCAGCTTTTTGTCATATTCAGGAATGGGTTGAGTGAAAAATATAATTGTAAAATCGTGACACTGACTTTTTTTTTATCTCAATTTAAAACCTTAATTGAATGATATTAATTGGTCAAATGGACTACAAAAAATAGTGAATGAAAAATATATGTTGAAATCATATTTTTACTATAGAATGCACTAGTTATATTTGATTCGGTGATTTATAATTTCAATTGTTGATTTCATCAGATTTGAAACTTAAACCGTAAAATTTGTGAATAGATATTGATATTAATTTACCTTTTAAATTATTGATTAAAGTTATAAAATCTTGATTAAGAGGATAATCCTCAAAAGCGCAATAAAGGAACCATGTTTTCTTACTAAATTATGTCTTATCTCTGAAAACTTTTAATATGTCAATATTTGTAATTATTAAATTCACTAATTTCATGGTCAGCTTGACCAATTAAATCATTACAATTAATTAAGGTTTTTTTTAGTTGAGATGAAAAAAAGTTAATGGCACGAGAGGGATTCGAACCCACGACCTTCAGCTAGATACGCCGTTGCTCTACCACCTGAGCTATCGTGACCTCGATCCACTCGGACATCAACTACCCATCTCAACCCCACCTTTTGAATGTTCCCTCCTTTTTGCCATTTTTCAAATGTCGTGTAATCGGTTTGGATTGTCGACGGCAATTGAAATGGCGACGGAGAGCTTTAGTGAAGTGTAATTAATTTTAATTCATTAAATTCACTAATTTCATGGTCAGCTTGACCAATTAAATTTTTTTCATCTCAACTTAAAAAAAACCTTAAATAATTGTAATTTGTAATTATCTTTTCCTAATTTTTTTCTTGTAAAATATGGTTAATAACATATTTATTTGGTAATAAAAAATTTCTTTTTGGTAGGCTACATTTTTTTCTTGGAAGAAACCATCGTAATTTTTGTTTTATAATGAAATTTATTAAAGTTTTATGATTGCAATAAAACAAATTGGTTCTGTTAGATCAACCTTTCAAAATGGGCTTATTAAAATAAACCCAACAAAAATTTTGCAAGCATAAACTCTGAGTCCTTATAACATTTAAAAAATATAATTTACCAATACAAAATATAATATAACAAGGCAATTTTTAAAACATCCTCTAGCTCATAAATAAAAATTTTTAAAAATTGTACCCCCTGCTACCGACGGTCTGAAACAAAATGAACCAATTGGGCTCACGAGGATACGACATACCCAATTGACACCTGCTTTCGAGGCAAACCCCATGCAGGTGTCTGCTTGCAGAGAAAGGTGGCTCAGTGAGTCACACTTAGTCGAGGAGTGCCAGGCCTTGTCCGCCTATAGGGAGCAAGTAGGCATGGCGCCCAAAGCAAAAATAGTCCTTGGCCACGTGAGTCGGTTGTTGGGTCCCCTGCTCCGATTTTTAAGGGAAAAAGTGCTATTTCCTCATAATCTGTAAACATTGTTTGTATAATTTATAACTTAATTTAGAACAAATAGCATCAAAAGAATCTATTTATAGTGACGGGATGGATCTCAGAGATAAAGCAACTCAATTAACACAAATTGTGAAACTGTCATATTCATATGTAAAATCATGTAAATCACAGTAACGATGTTTTCTTATATTTCGACCTCAACAGTTTAACTTATGATTTTTCCTTCTTGAAGGTGGGGTAATAGGTCATCTCGGGGGAAAAAAAAAAAAAAAANTTAAAAAAAAAACCACAACCAGTTTTTATCAACGTTTCGGATTTATTTTAATCCTTCCTCAGTGAGTTAACGCAATGGTTAAGTAATAGTGGTCATCAGTCATTAATATTTTATAATTTTATTTTAAAATATTAATGACTGACAACCACTGTTTTAACCATTGCATTAACTCACTTGAGGAAGGATTAAAATAAATCCGAAACGTTGTGGATACAAACTGATTGTTTTTTTGTAGATGTCCTATTATCCCACCTTCAAGAAGAAAAATCATAAGTAAATCACAGTATTATTTTTGATTGGAAAACTATGCTGTGTGTGTAATTTTTGTCCCAGTATTTTTAAAATCTAATGAAGTGTAAATCCTGGCTTTAAAAAAGTTTAAATACAAAGGTCGCTATGTTGCATGTTTGTAGTTAGCAATATTTTTATCGAAAAGTCAAATATAACCAAATGATATATATTTTAACAAACTATAACAGAGGAAAACAACTATTTAGTTATAAATATAAATTTATTTACTCTGTCTTTGGTTAATAGTTTTTGATACATTGAAAGCTATCAAAGAAATAATGTCATAAGGCATTTTATCACAAGTACAAAACACGATCGCTACAGATTGCCGATATATTGGGTACGCCAATATTTCTTCTTTAGTTCTGGCCACTGTACAAAAATATTGTCTGCAAAAAACATGAGGATCATGCCGGAGAGGGAGAGCGAGGACACACGGCAGATGCTCTCGAAGAAGACGATCCTGTTATCAGAGAGAAATAGTGCTCTCATGAGAAAGGCGATGAGGCAAACAGGTATGCAAGTCCCGGGCCCGTTGCAGAGTATCAGCTCCGGCCTGTGGTACAGCATTTTGGGCACGGTGGCCAGAATAGCGTACAGAGTGGTAAACACGGAGGTGAAGTAGGACTGTCCGACGGCCCTGCTCCTCGGCACCCGGACGATCACGTAGTCGCCTGTCTGGTTGTTGTACTCAACTGAAACCACTTTCAGCTCGCTCGTTATGTCTGTGGAGGCGAGGACGTACAACCTAGGCCTATACTTGCGTATATCGAGGAACTGGGTTATTTTCAGCATTTCGGCCGTGTGACCACCAGAACCTATGACTATCATCGTCTTTACAGACTGGTCGCCGTTCCTGCTCGTCGCCTGGGGCCGGCGCAGGGTGAACACCTGGTACATCAGATACACACATCTCAATCCGAACAGCACCAGAAGGATTATCCAAGGGGTCATTTTCGTTTCCCTGGATGGATCAGATCTCGTTCTCCTGTCGTCGAATCATACATCCGATGAAGGGATTTGTTGCGACATAGCAACATTCCAACTTAGAAAACTACTTGGGCCAATCACGTCTGTCGTGCGTTGTTGATATTTGATAACGTCGACTGTTACCAAGTTCCAACGCACTCAACGGGGTCAGTCGCAAGTCACAACACTAAAAATAGATCTGCAGGCCACAACGTATCGTCTTATCAATACTACAGCGCTGCATGTCTCATACACTAATACCTTCCCGCTTCTTTTTGAATTTTAATGGTCCAATTATTTCATCAACCTAACTTTTTAATTATGTCTTATAAATTAAACTCTAAATGTTTTAAATAAAAACCTACTACTAAACAGTGCTACTTTTACACAAAACTCTGTACTTATTAGAACATTAAATTTTATTCTATATTTACATTCCATACTAATTATTATTATTATTTTTAAGCATTTAGAAATAAAATACTTTCGCAATAAGGCTTGCTTACCAATGAGTAGAAAAATGTAAAACAATAAATAACAAAAAGGTTACAAAATATAATGCAGGATATAATAATTAATAAACAAAATTTGCATAATATTAACATATTAATCCATTATGTTTAGTGGTCTAATTGACCAAATTACTTCTTTTAATTAATTATTCGATCGTGGGTTCAAATCCCACTTGTGATACTAACTTTTTCATCTTAACCAAGACCTTACATATTTTTTAAATTAAATTTATTTATTAAAAATGATTTTATTAGACCAACCATTAATTTTACAATAATATTACAGAATAAATAAATGTTTACATTCTTTTAAACCCATTGGTACAATAAGATTTACATTTCACTATTCATTTTTAACTGCACAAGTTCATATGACTTTGTTCTTTTTAATCTTCTGACCGTGTTTCGGTTATGTAAGAGTTTGGTCGCTTCCACATTCTTGTGCTGGCTGAGGCGGCCTGGTGTTTGACGGCAAACCAAGGTGCATTGACCATGTTACGTTTTATTTTGGAGTGTTTGTATGATTTTGATATTGCTGTGTTTGGTACAACCCCATAGTTGAATACCATATGTTCACATAGGCTTTATGACTTGTTTATATAATAATATTTTATTTCCTATCAACCATAGTTGTCTATACCATAAACCTATTTCTGTCCATTTTTTCTTCATGTGTTCTTTCCATCTCAGCTTGGCATCTAAGGTCATCAAGACCTTACATAAAAAGAATATTTAATTGAAAGAAGATTTTAACATAGATGAATATGAATGAAGGAGGGAAAGGTATAAACGCAAAGTATACTTTTATACTTTTACTCTTTAGAGAAGAAAAAGAGAATAGCAACATCATGTTAGTCTGATCAAATCATGTATTGTTTACAAAATAAAAGTTAAAAGCCTTTGCTGGGCAGAGCCTATTTTTAATTCTAAATAAGTAAGATATCGGAGTTTAAAGTAATCGGATAAATTAATAGCCAGAATGAACTTGTCATTAGTTGAGATATGCTCTCTTCTTTGTAAACTTAATACAAATCTTGTACAGTTATTACAAAGTACTCTTAAGTTTTTTAGTAGAAGTGTGATTAAGTGAAAAAGAGTATAAAGTACTGCAATAAGTAAAAAACGCTAAAATAAGATTTGTCGTTAGACTAAGTTTGAGTGTCGTAGAGTTTAATTTAATATTTCCAAAGTGAATTTACAGTCCCATTCACCCTTCCAGCAATAAATAAAATAATCATTGCAAGATAACAATAATAAAATATATTTTACGGTATTAACCTAATTTAAAATAGGTTTAAATATAAGAGAAAATTATAACAATATAAAAGCAAAAATAAGGAAACAAGTTAAAATTACATAAGTAGTAAACAATATATATCAAAATAGCTTAAAATAATGTCTTATAAAATATAACTAAAAAATATAAATTGTTATTGTAAATTTTTAAATTGTAATTGTAAAATAATATAACATATTCTAAAATATTATATAAATAATATTAAAAACAATTATCTAAAAATATGTTGATTAGGTTAGTAAAAATAAGAGTATTTTGTGCAAATGTAGATGAATTATATTAAGGAGCCACCAAGAATAATGCAAGGAAAATCCTCAGTAGACAGATGTGTGTTGTAAATAATTATCGATTGGGATTTGAGTGGGTTAAGTTTGAGACTATTGTTTGAAGCCCAATTAACCAACCTAGAAAAAAACTTTGTTAAATTAACAAATTAATTATTTAGAGATCATGAGATGAGGTCTTGTGCGATGTAGGTTTAGAAAAACATTTTCTTTATTGTGCCAACGTTTCGATCTTTATTGAAATCATCTTCATGACCTGTGATTTATAAACATTGTTTAAATTATACAAATACATGTAAGGTGTGAAAATGAATTGATACAATGATGTATACAACATAGAAATTTTAGGTTTAATCAAAGTTATTTGGAGATCGTGAGATGCTGTCTTGTGTGATGTAGGTTTAGAAAAATATTTTCTTTATTGTGCCAATGTTTCGATCTTTATTTAGATCATAATATATATATACAAATACATTTAACATGTGAAATGAATTTGTACAATAATGTACACAATATAAAAATTTTAGGTTTATTCATAGTATTTGTACTCACTCAAAGTGTGTTTTCTGTGTAGATGTGTCACGGTTGTGTGTCGTGTTGTATGTTGATGTTGAAGAGATAAATGTTTTTTTGTTTATAAATGTTGGATTTTGAAAGAGTGGGGAAGAAAGTAGGGATAGAAATTCATTTTCTTCTTGAGGTGAAAGAGGCGGACAATAGGAAAAAAGGGTTAATGGTTTGTCATTCGGGCTTAGTTATCTTTTCAGGATTATTATAGACGGGATTATTAGGGAAAGGAAGGATAAATTTCTTACTGATTTCGACTATGTAGAAATTATTTGATGTGTAGAGTGTAATGATTGTTTTATATGTTATATATTTTGTGTGTTGTTGATGTCGAATTATGGGGTACGAGTCTACCCAGGCATTTAACCCCTCAGGTCTTGGTCGCCCGCCCTGCGTAATATGTATATCGATGTCGAATTTGATTTATAATTTTTTTTTAAATACCAGGGAGTTCCCTCCTGAGCACTGCAGCTGAGCTGTACAGCTTATTGTACTTTATCCCTGGCTCCATATTTTGGGGGAGGGCTCGCAATACAAATATGAACTTGAGCCCCCTTTGTACCGGTGTTCTTCCATCGAAGAAACTCATTTTTGAAGGGGGTTGGGACCAAATTCAGGGTCGCTGAGATCTGATCTCGCTCCGCCCATTGACGAGTGCCGTGTCAATTTCTTTCAATTGTGGCCACCGGTCCTCTTAGGCATTAGAAAAAGTCCAGAGGCGACGGTGGGGATCTAACCCATGACCGCGGGATCTACTAGCCGAGAGTCTGACGCCTTAACCACTCGGCTACCGTGGCCCCCTTGTTTTTGGTTTGTTCTGTGTTTAATATTTTTTGATTGTTAAAACCGATTGGTGGATTTGGTGTTCAAAATGGTGGGTAGCCAGTGCTGTAGGGTTTTGTTTTGGTTTTTTGCAATCTTAGATATTGTTTTACCCTCTTACCCATATATTGGGATGTAAGTTGCCAGGCAATTTATACAATTGATTTTATCAATAACATAAGACTTATTTGTTAATGGTGTGGGATCTTTAATTTTAGAAAAAAGAGAATGGATTGGTTTATAGTTTTTGTAGGCTATTTTAAAGTTGTCAAAAGAGAGAAATGCTTTTTATTTGTGTGATAGGGCGTGAACGAGTGGCATGTATGTTGGTTTGTCTGATTTGGTAGATTTGATGTAGTGTTATTAGTAATTCACTAGTTTTCGTGGTCCACTTGACCAACTGATATCTTTCAATTAATTAAGGGTTTTAGTTGAGATAAAAAAGTCAGTGTAATGAGCAGGATTCGAACCCACGACCTTCGGCTAGATATGCTGCTGTTCTACCACTTGGACCTCGATCCACTTGGACACTAACTTCCCATCTCAACCCCACCTTTTTTAATTTTCCCTCGTTTTTGCCATTTTTCAAGTATTAGTTGAGTTATTATTAATAGTAGATGGTGTTAATGTTGAATTGTAGTTGTTGGCTACGTGTTTAGGGTAGTTATTGTTATGTAGGATATGTTTGCATATATTTATGTTCTTGTAGGCTTAGGGTAATAATTCTGTGAAGTAGCCCTTTGGCCGTGTTTATTATTGCTTGAAAAGGGATGGTTTGTTGTAAAGTTGAGGTAGCGATCTGTGTTTTTCGGTTTTTTATACCAATCCGTGATTAATGTGCCAACTGGCTGTTTTATTACGAGTGTATCTAAACATGGCATTTTTTTGTTGTTCTCCATTTCATGTATAAATTGTAGGCGTGGGTGAAAGCTGTTAAATGTACCTAATGTAGTTTGAATTTGTTCTGTGGGAACTGCTGCCTATATATCACCTATGTATTTAGTGAGGAAGGGTTAATGAATTGAATGGAATCAGGGATTAAATGAGGGGGACATTGTGTATAGATTTGACTATTGTCAGCATATAAGTGAAATTTGAAGTAATTTAAACAAGAGCGGAGGTCGTTAATAACAATTGGAAACAATAAGGGCCCTAAAATTGCACCTTGAAGAACGCTAAACAAGAACGTCAAATGAGAATTTGTTATTAGATTCACTAGTTTTCGTGGTCCGCTTGACCAATTAATATCTTTCGATTAATTAAGGTTTTTAGTTGAGATAAAAATGTCCGAGCGGGATTCGAACCCACGAATTAGATCCACTCACGATAGCTCAAGTGGTAGAGTAGCGGCGTATCTAGCCGATGGTCGCGGGTTCGAATCCCGCTCGTGACACTGACTTTTTTATCTCAACTAAAAATCTTAATTAATTGAAAAATTTGTTATTAGGAAGTTGGACAACTTGTTTTAGACTTGATAAATTAGGGAATAAGTCGAAAATCAATTGGGGATGATGGTGATGAAACTTTAGGAAAGGATAAAACAACAGTTAGTAAAACGCAGAGGGAAAAGTTGATGAAGTTAAGGAGAAATTAAAAATATGTGTTATACATTGGTAAATGGAAATGAGAGGAGAATTATTTTAATAGGAATTTAATTAGATTTAGTAGCGTTGTACTAATAGAAAAAAGTGCTTGTGAGACATCAAT